CCTTTGAATGGATAGGAATGGGTGTTATCGATAGATTTCGTCATTCGTCTACCGATTCATTTCAACAATTCAGAGGCATGATGTTCAAAAACACCAAAGGTTTCAATTTCAATCGGAAAGCAACACTAGGAAATTACCAAAGTGGAGTATTTCAGAAACTTTGATTTTTATGCAATCATATCAGCTGCACCACTGGAATAAGACGTAACGACAAATTTTGAAGCTGCAACTATGTCTACGTAGGTGAAATCCCAAATCAGAGGTTTCCAAATTTCCAAGTAATTTGGCATATCCCATCCTAGCTGCAGAACAGAAAATACATTTTCTGAGGTTGCTACCAACAATGTGATAGGTTAGGTTCGGTTGAGTCAAAAATGAGTGGGTCTATTTGACCCTCCGGTTCATTGTGGTCACACCAGCTTCTTAACGAAGCCGATTAGTTTGTATGGTGAGTGGTCTTTCAGGTCATATGATGAGAGTACTGCTCTGCCAAACTATGAAAACCTGATTCGGTCCCCAGCGGGACAGGTATGAAATATGTGCTCTGCTGTTTCATCATTTCCCAAACTCAGGCGATACACCACTGTCTTTCGACTACAGAGACCTGTGAGGAGGCCTGTTAGACATCCTAGTTCATCTCTACCATAGTCCAACAACTGTTTGGTATCAAGATCATAAGGGTGAATAAACGCCTTGAAGTGAGCCAATCCTGGAAGATTTTGCCAGAAGTCCATGAATCTTTCTGCCATCCAAGTGTTCTATGGTTGTTTGTCAATGCCTTAAACGATGGAATGCCTGAATATGAATTGAATCATGATAATTATTTCTAAATATGTAGTCTACTGTATTGTGTCACAAACAAAGTATCTCTCAATTAACTGTAATCGCTTGAGATGGTCCTTTTCACCAGGAAAAGAAGTTTAACAGGCTTAAAACCTCCCGAAATCTTCAAAAGCAAACTAAACATCTCTGAAGAGGTGAAATACCTTGGTACTATCCTCGACAAGAAGCTAACATGATAGTCTCATCTACAGGGTAGAGCAAAAAGAGCATACGTGGCTCATGAGCAATGTCGGAGGACAGTGGGACGCGCATGGGGTCTTTCACCCCGTGTAGTCGCCTGGATCTACACTGCAATAATAAGACCTATGTTAACGTATGGAGCCATTGCATGGGGACCGAAAGTTCTACAAGCAACGGCCATCCAAAAATTATATCAAATACAGCGACTGGCTTGTTTAAACATCACAGGAGCCATGAGAACAACACCAACCGCGGCAATGGAATTAATCACGGGTCTGACCCCTCTGGA